GTGATGCCTGTATCTGTTCACCACCGTGTGATGCCACTATCTGTTCACCACCGTGTGTGATGCCACTATCTGTTCACCACCGTGTGTGATGCCACTATCTGTTCACCACCGTGTGTGATGCCACTATCTGTTCACCATCGTGTGTGATGCCACTATCTGTTCACCATCGTGTGTGATGCCACTATCTGTTCACCACCGTGTGTGATACCACTATCTGTGACCTTTCCTCCGATGATCAGGTCTTAGCAAATACAAATTTGTTGCAGCATGTTACTCATAGAGAGGTTAATGCTCTCCAGTGATGCGTTTGAAGTGGACGTGTGCAGTCAATGTGGATTGATGGGATACTCGGGCTGGTAAGTATAGTCGCTTGGCTTAAAATTGTAGGTGCCATTACTTTGTAGTCATCAACAATCTTATTTTCACATGACGACTACAAGTCTCCCTAAGAAGTTGATGTATTTTTTGTAAATTGTGCATTTTGTTTATAATTTGGTTTAATATCCAATATCTGTGCAACTGTATTCACATAGTAAGCTGAATCTTATTGCTTGGGCATTTTTTCTGTTTAAAAGATTTCAATCCCCTTTTTCTTTTCTTTTACACTAGGTGCCATTACTGTCAGTCATCGCGAAATATCTCCTCACTGCGTATTCCGTATGCCTGCAAACTCCTGTTTCAAGAACTTCAATCGATGAACATTGTGCCCAGGCTGGCTCTCAGCAAAATGATAGACTAGGAAAGAAAATGACTGGAGGTAAATAGGGAAATCTGGCAAAAACTGTAATCGAGATTTTGATTTTGGGAGTGTTTAGTTTAATACTCAGTATTAATTAATTAATACTCATACTAATTAAACAGGTAATACTCAGTATATATAGTAGTAAAATGTTTAGTTTAATCAAGAGTACATAATAGAGATCATGGTGGTCATGTCTGATGTTCTTTCCAGCATTTGGAGGAGACAAGGTAGCAGACTTGAGTGAGGATCTGGTGAGAAATGGCTTCAACTACCTGGGCAAAGACTTTGTTTACTCTGGCATCACTGGGTACGAATTAAATGTAGCTAAATAGAAACTATAAAGTATTTCATACACCAGTTTTCACTGCTGGGCACATTTAGGCATAATATAGAATACATCATACATACATCATAAAATTAAATCATACATTATTACGCATATAAACACGCATCATCAATGTAATTTCATACAGCATAAAATTTAATGGTGTTGTCCGGTTGCAATCAAGTCTATACTCGCCCAGTGTTTCTTCATCTGCTACCGAGCCTACTGGGCACATCTAGGCAGAGTATAGAATATTCCGTACGTCATAAAATTGGTTTCTGTTACAAGTCTATACTCACCTGATGTTTCTTTATCCGCTAGCGAGCCGCTCAGTGCCTATATATTCTTTGGGCCCGTGTACTACCAGAAGCTGAAGCACATGGTGCTGGACAAGATGCATGGTAGAGCTAAAGGTCCGCGCGCCGTGCTCACCCGTCAACCGACAGAGGGCCGCTCGCGAGACGGAGGTCTCCGGCTCGGGGAGATGGAACGTGACTGCCTTATCGGCTACGGGGCCAGGTAAGTCTAGCGCCATGGCGGGTTATCTACTAGAGGCAGGCTTCTTCTGACGTGTATGTGTGATAGTGAGTGGGATTTAAATGAGACTTGTGTCTCGAGATAAAAACGTCGGGTTGGAAGTAAATAGAATGTATACTTACGCTTATGTGTAGTTTTCACATGCCGGTGAGGAGAATGTAGCAGTAATCTATCTGTTCACCACCGTGTGTGATACCACTATCTGTTCACCACCGTGTGTGATGCCACTATCTGTTCACCA